TTTTGTCTGAATAACTCACATGTTTACCTTTTCTGGCTTCGACATAGAAAGTTGTGGACCAACTGCTTTGCCTCAGTGCAGAAAACCTGCTTCGATGAGCGGAATTAAAATGTGGATACCGCCCAAGCCTACGAGCTGCCACTTTTCTCCCCGTCTTCTCCGCGCTGTCACATGACATCACGTTCATAAACTTTATGGAACATCTCTAAAAGTTGGACAAAACATTTTAAACCATTTAAGTAAAACTGAAAATTCAACCACACATCTGTTTTATACATTAAATGACTTTTATTCATCCTTTTCATTTATTTATTTATTTTTTAAACCTTGTCCATGTGCACTGCTTTTTTCATGACTGTATTGGAACTGACACAGTAGCTTTGTTAACACCAGATGTATACAGTATCACCGTAATACCGCCCAAGCCTACGTAATACAGTACCGGAAACATCACTGGGCCAATAACGACGGCCGATTCATATTCAATGTAGAGCAGAGTTTTGACCTGAAGAGGGCGCAATAATGTTTTTTTTTTTTTTTACCAAATTGTTGATGCAGTAAAATGACAAAATAACGACTACGCATGTATACTGTACTGTTAGACACTAATTTCTACAGTTTATTAGCAAAGCAAATTTTGATTTGAGGGCAACCTGCTCTTTAAACTCCTGGAATTACCTTACACCAAACCCTTTTTAATTCTGCGGAAAACCGGTGGACTGTGATTGAAAGCCAACACTGTACCAAGAAACCTATCAGGTCAAATAAGCACAACCGAATCTTCCAAGAACGGTGTTTCAGTCTTAGTCAGAAGCTTGCTGGTGCATACAAAAACATCCATTAAAAGGACAAATAACCATTGGGGGTGTGGGTTTCTTTTTGATCCTACATTTATAACTTCACAGACAGTAAATGCAAAGTTATAGACTCAGTCCTTGCTGTTAAAATTCATTGATGCTTTGTTATCATTTCACCCTAAATAAATACATTTTGGCCTTCATGCTTGGTATGAGTGTATGCACACAACTGACCTAAAGTATTACTTGGATTATTAACTTTAATTACTTCCCATAACTGCACGTCAAAGAAATACTGGCTTTTTAAACGTTACAACATTGCATTAGATGCATTACTGGGGCTGAATCCCTTTAGATTTTTTTTCTATACCAGTACTTTGATGATTCCTGGCATCTGTACGTGAATGACAATTTGTTCAGTACCTATATTTTTATCTCTAATGTTAACAGAAAAAAAGAGCCTAGTTTTTTCTGTTTGTTTGTTTATTAAACTGAGCAACAAAAAAAACAGAAACAATTCAGCACAGAATGTAAAATATCTACTATTTTGAAACTGTGAACCACTACATCCTTCTTGTTGGCTGATAAACTGGGTGGGACTACCAGAGACACTGTTGGTTCTAATCAGAACTCAAAGACACATTATGTTGTCTCTACTGGTGATCACAAATCAAAGCAGGTCATCATGACATGCAGGGTCACCATAGGTTTAATTCTTGGACCACTGCTCTGCAATCACTACCTGCTGCCCCTTGGTCAGGTCATACACAGTAACAGCATTACCTATCATAGTTGTGCAGATGACACCCAGATCAACCTAGCTCTATCACTTAGTGACTGTGGTCCCCTAGACTCACCCTGTCAGTGTTTGGAACAAATTAATGACTGGATGCAATCAAACTTCCTTCAGATAAACAAAGACAAGACAGAAGTTATTATCTTTGGAAATAAGAAGGTTAGGATGGAGGTTATTGCTCAACTTGGCTCCAGAGGAAAACAAAGACCCAGGTTAGAAATCTTGATTCAGACCTGAGCTTCACTGGTTACATTGAGGCTATAACTAGATCAGCTTTTTATCATCTTCGTCACACAGCAGGCAAGACTCAGGGGTCTCATGTCCAGACAAGACCTAGAGAAACTCATTCATGCGTTCATCTACAGCAGGCTGGACTATTGCAATGTTTTTTGACTGGTCTTCCCAAAAAAGCTGAGAAGCAACTGCAGCTTATTCAATAATGCTGCTGCTAGAGTCTTAACAAGAACTAAGAGAACCGAGCACATCACTCCTGTTCTTAAATCACTACACTGATTACCAGCAAATTACAGAATCCATTTCAATGTGCTACTACTAGTTTATAAATCACTCAATGGCATGGGGCCAGAATACATGTTGGAAGTAAGTCGGACCTGTTCCCGGTGAGGGTTGGACTCCGCCAGGGCTGCCCTTTGTCACCGGTTCTGTTCATTACCTTTATGGACAGAATTTCTAGGCACAGCTGTGGTGTGGAGTGTGTCGAGTTTGGTGACAGGAGAATCTCTTCTCTGCTTATTGCGGATGATGTGGTCCTCCTAGCTTCATCCAGCTCTGACCTTCAGCTCTTGCTGGGTAGGTTCACGGCCGAGTGTGAAGCGGCTGGGATGAGGATCAGCACCTCCAAATCTGAGACCATGGTTCTCGACCGGAAAAGGGTGGCTTGCCAACTCCGGGTTGGGAGAGAGGTCCTACCTCAAGTGGAGGAGTTTAGGTATCTTGTGGTCTTGTTCACGAGTGAGGGTAGTAGGGATCGGGAGATCGACAGGCGGATTGGTTCGGCGTCTGCAATGATGCGGATGCTGAGCCGATCTGTCGTGGTGAAGAGGGAGCTGAGCCAGAAAGCCAGGCTCTCGATTTACCGGTCGATCTATGTCCCAATCCTCACCTATGGTCACGAGCTTTGGGTAATGACCAAAAGAACAAGATCGTGAATACAAGCGGCCGAATTGAGTTTCCTCCGTAGGGTGGCCGGGCTCAGCCTTAGAGATAGGGTGAGGAGCTCAGACATTCAGGAGGAACTCGGAGTAGAACCGCTGCACCTCCGATCGAGAGGAGTCAGTTGAGGTGGTTTGGGCATCTGGTCAGGATGCCTCCTGGATGCCTCCCTGGGGAGGTGTTTCGGGCATGTCCTGCCGGCAGGAGGCCCCCGGGTCGACCCAGGACACGTTGGAGAGGTTACATCTCCAATCTGGTCCAGGAACGCCTTGGGGTCCTTCCGGAGGAGCTGGTGGAGGTGGCCGGGGAGAGGACGGAGGATGCTGCCCCCGCGACCCGGACCCAGATAAGCGGAGGAAGACGACGACGAGCCTAGCTGTTAAGAGATATTTTGTCTCTTTCTGGTGTGTGAGTAGCAGCTGAACCCAGTGACCCCACCAGTGAGGAACTGGTACGGTGCTGGGCATTTTTAGTTAGTTTTAATCAGCTCCAGTGAAAAGTGAAAGTTTTTCATCACATGTTATAAATCCAGCGGGGTGAATTCTGGCAAAGTCGTCAACTTGTTTACATTGATGAACAGAAGCAGGGAGAACTAAGCTAACGTGCGTAAGCTAGCCAACACTTTCCTTCTGTAAATACCACTCTCTATGAGCCCCACCTACTCGTGTTAAACCTTCCCACAAGTGAACTGGGCTTGAACTCGTAGAAACCAGGCTAAACTGGCAAAATAAACAACCCCAGCTGCCACTTTTCTGTTCAATACTGCTATAATTCACCGCTGCCCCACCTAGTATCACTAATTCTCCCAAAAACTAAACCGGGGTTGAACTAGTTGAAGCCGTGCTAAACATTGCAAAAACAACAACGACAACAACAAAACAATCTCAGGCACTACTTTCCCCTTTGTTTAGTACTCGTGTCGCTCACTGTTAACATATTTTTGCCAACCAATATGGTGGAACCATGTGATTAGGCGACGTAGGTGCAAAGGGTCAAGGGTGGTGGGTGTATCTATAGATGAGATGTTTCTGCTGGGGCTTACGTTAGTTAAGACATGCATGTTTAAAATGGTTTTCTGTGCTGATGTGGATGATTTGCTGCTTCATTAAGTTACTAAATCTAAGGAGGAATCATGAAGCAGATGAGTGGGTTTTCAAAAATCACCAAAAGCATTCGTCTTCAGTGACATTTGGTCCAACTTTTATTTTCCAGAGTAAAAATGTAAAACATATAACTGATTTATTCAGAAGCAAACTGAAATAACTCCTTATGCAGCTACTGATTCGGTGTTTAGAGCACAGGCCTCTAGCCTGAAACTATTAATAAAAGCTTTAGGATGGCTCCAGGGGAGGCCAGAGAACTAATTGTCCAATAATTCAGTAATAAAAAGTAACATGTAGACAAATATTAGCCATTTATCTCCAGAAAAACACGTTCCTTTAACATCTACATAAATGTGCTAATAATAAACGTGTAGGAGACTTGGTTACAGTGAAGTCGTTAGCAAAACACCACCAACTGTTTATGTGCAGGCATTATGCAAATGTGTGACTCCATGTAAACAAAAAGGAGAGGCAAAGCTTGTATGATGAACGAGGCGCATTAGGCCCTTCTGGAGTCATGTTTTCAGAATCGCCCTCTTACTGTAGGTTTTAAGAGGTCAAGACCAACTACAAGCAATAAAAGATCCATTTTAAACACATGAATAAAACATCCAAAATTTAAAAAGCCAACATTTTAATGGATCTGTCTAATGGATCTACTGATGTGAACAGCATATTTAGACTCTATCAAAGGCCTTTAGAAAAGCATATTATCTGATGCCGTTAATAAAAATATTTTAAATGAAGGTGCTGTTAAGACCAGATACGGAGTTATTTTGGTTAAATTGTAAAACTAGTAGGCAAGCTCTAGTGTGGTCACTCAGCACCATGTGAATGTTTCTTGACTAATTTCTGAAACGCTGACTGAGTTATGGGCGGACGTCGGTCTACGGAGACTGATAAATTGTGGTAGACATCCCGAATGGGATTAAATCCAAACATATTCACATGTAGGTGCGCATAACTTGTTGCTTTCTGAGATTTTCTTTAATATTTTGCAGTAATTCACGAGATTTTGCAAAAAGAATTACAAAAAACCAACACAAGCAAAAACACAAGAAAAACATTAACGCCCACCTTTCACCCATCAATGGTGGGCGATGTAAGGATTATATTTCTACAGAAGCTCACCAGATTCCCCCTCCTGCTCTGTAGAAACACTCAGCTTTGTCCACCATGGCCTGAACTTCAGCAGCCGGTTTATCTCGTCATCTTCAAACAAATCAGCCCTGCCATGACACGTGTTTGTCATGAATAACCCCAAAAAGAGCTTCATGAGAGTAAAGCTATTTAAACTCACAAGTAATGGTCAGGAGAGAAAGCCGAGGCCTCTGCTTCCAGTCGAGCCTGCCGCCGCTCTGCTGCTGATGTTCCCTCTGGGTTCTGAAGGTCGATCACCTCACTGAGTTCCTCCTTTTAGAACAAGAAAATAAACAAACTACTTATTTTAATGATACATTTTACAAACATGAACCCTTACTTGTAGTTCTTACCTGTAATCGCGCAAATACTCCGGAGCGCTGATTAGCAAAGCCATACTTCTGCAGGGCACTCAGTTCTTCTACAGATAGCTCTTTGTAAACTTCCTGTTCAACCTGCCAGTCAAATTCCTCTTCATCTTCCTCTTCGTTATCTTCAGCACCTTCGCTGCATGCTTTAAGATGTTAAGAACCTGTGTTAACCCCTGATCCTTCTGCTGCTGCATCTATACTAACATTTACTCAAAAAAGAAACGGTTAGCCGTACAAACATACCTGTGCTTACATCTTCCACTAGTGGTTTTGCTGAACGGGTGCCTTTTGGAGCGAGGAGACTTGTGAGCATTTGAAGGCCTTCAAAGTGCTCTCCGGCTGTTTCTTTAGGAACCTGAAGTGTGAAAAGACCTGCAGCAAGACGGGACATGAAAGGAGGA